GGCTCATAAACGCACATATTCGTCCATGACTCGTTAACGTTCATGCTCGTCCATAACTCGTTTACGGTCAGATTTGTCCATAACCCGCTAACGTTCATGTTTGTCTATGATTTGTTAGCGTTCATGCCCATCCATGACTCGTGAACGTCCATACCCGTCCATGCCTCGTTAACGTTCATATTTGTCCATGGCTCGTTAACGTGGATGTTCGTCTATAACTTGTTAACATCAGGTTCGTCTATGACTCGTTAACGTTCGTGACTCGGTGCTAAGCTGTGCAGTAAGTGTGGAGATTAATTCTTGCCGTTGACCAGGCAGATTGATGTGTATATATGATAGCCTAATGGTCAATTGAGGTTTCTAGGTTTTAAAGTCCTCCGCTCTGGCCGGTTAGGTTCCGTAATCCAGACTGTGATATATATTGTACGTACGCATATAAATACAAGATACCTGTTGATTGCACATGTCAAGTGCATGTTTAACACGCGCTCGGTTGGGGGGTCATATTGACCATCCCGCAGGTTTTTCCAGAATTGTTTCCGAACCGGGCGGCGTAGCCGCGCCAATTTTTGCATAGTTGTAGACAGTTGAATACAAAATCGTCTGACATCACAAATTTAGATGTACCTCGTAAGGTCGCTGAACTATGGCAGGTCAAATCCAGGCCATAGTTTCAGCGCAGTCAATTTCTAGGGAATTGTTCAATCTAGTGCAACAACAGAATGCTAGACGAAGCCATACATCTCTGAGACGCTTTCTTAGGCAGCACGAATATCAAATGAGCAAATTGAGCTGACCTAAGATCAAGTATTAAGGTTAGACCAAGGTAAAAAACAACCTGTTTTGTTGCTTTAGCCCTTGTTGTATTGAACGTTCTGGTGCCCATTTCAAATTCATTGATCGCAGGAACCGCATTATACATCTTCTATAAACTTCTTAGAGGTCAGAATAGGTAGCTGACCTAAAATGACCCAGGCCAACATTTTGTTTTAAGGAACATACTGCCTAGCGTGACCTTTGCCGCTTATTCAAATGCAAAACTCAGAGCAGTCTTCTATGATTTTGCTCACCATGACCTTCAAAAGGTCAAGCAAGGTCACAGATCTTGAATGAGCATGCGATTTTTTGCTTAGAAACAGCTATCTGGGTTCTAGGGGTACTTTGGAGAACAACCTTGAAATTGACATTGTTTGACCTTATTTGACCTGGAGGTCATGACCTAAGAATCTCAAACTTTGACCTAAGTGAGTTGACGTGCAGGTCAATGCACACCATAAATTTGGTGTTTCTAGCCTTCTTAGTTTCTGAGATCTCAGGGGGTCAAATTGACCCCACCCGAGCGAAGGGTGTCTAGCCGACCACCTGAGCACGTGTTAAAAGTACCTTGGGGTAAGGTCCGATTTCTGTGTCGGGAAACGTCAGAATGTAAAGTAAAGCAAGGTCAGATGTCCGCATCCAACCGCTTTTTCTCCAAGAGTGACTATGACACGCAGTCCACTCGGTTATCGTGAGAACTTTCTTAGAGAACCATCGAAGCGCCGAATCAACTTTGTAGTAAATTCACCAGGCAGCATATGTTGGCATGATTTACCCACCTAACCTCATGACATCAGTCCGTTCCTTCAACGATCGACCACCTACAACCAATGGCTTTTTTCGCACTGCCTGCTTGGTAGAGCACTGCGCAATGCTTCGCTGCATAAAAACCCTGCCCAATGCTTCAGATGGAAATCTCAAGTCAGTGATATTGCATTGCATTGTTTGACAGATGAAAACGTTCGACTCTGTGTGGCTGTTGTCGCTTATTTACTTCATCATGATAGTTAAAGCAAAACGCCAGTACTGCGTGCGCATCGTGCTTGACTTAAATAGGCCACCTTTCGAACAGCAATACTCAGCAACTGACCTAGAAATATAGGTAGTGGACCGTCAACCATCAAGGTCAGCTACCTCAGATACCCAAAGTTTAGTGCTGCGCTCGAAATCCTTCAAAAATGATTCCATAAAATGACTTAGGGGAAGAGTGAAAGAGCGTGCGCAGCTTTGGTACCATGCCTTTATCGAAGCGAATATAAGAAGTAGATCCAAAATTAAAAATTGTGTGCTCATTCCACTCCATTTTCCAGGCTTTTTTTGAAACAGTGAGCCACAATTTTGAAAAGTCACTAACATTTAGGAGGTTAGACAAGGAGCAATTTTCCGCAATTCATATGATACAGTGTATATCTAAGGATTCAAATATGTGAAAAATGCGTGTGCAAACGTGCGAACCATTCAGACGAAACAGGCAACGCTCATCACCTATCAGGTATCACTCGTGCATGTGAGCGATTGCATGCTAGCACGCATCACGCATTAAGACACTAATCACATTTGCACAATCGACCATGATGAGCCCTGTACATTTATGTCTGGTTGCCGATTTCCTATAAAAATGGATTCGTTCATTTTCCTGTCTGGATGATCTTGTGCTCTGTATAAGACTTTTGAGCTTTGAAAGGCTGTCTTGCATTAGGTTGTCATTAAACATTGTCACACACACACACACACACACACACACACACACACACACACACACACACACACACACACACACACACACACACACACATATATATATATATATATATATATATATATATATATATATATATATACATTTATGAAATGTCCGACTGATTCATGTATCTCAATTAAAGTGCATTTATGTATTTTCTGCTTACGCTCCCTGACCACATGCTTGCATCCGTTTTTCTTTGTGTACGTTTGTGTACCGTTGGGTGCGATTAGTTTTGAGGTCAAAGTACACGTTTTCGCCAGCTCCAAATTGGTTGTGGGTCTGGATTTGACCTTTCACGGTGGGTATGGATTAGGTCCAAGTGTTGTTCGCTCACACAACTTTTCTAAAAGAAAGAAGTCGCATGTCATTATTACTCGCGCACATATATTTTCAGAAGCTGCAAATCACCAGCAAATATGAGGTCTGCCCGACAAAGCGGCTGGTTGTGCCGCTGAGAACGCTACACTCAGCCGGTGTTACAATCCAGAACGATGCACAGTTTATTAGGTGCTGAAACCTAGGCTTTTCGCTACTGAGCCTGAGTATCACTGGGAGGATCAGGCGGATGCTGCGGTGGTGCACGTCGTGTGCTCTGTGGGCATTTTTACTGAGCCGTTCTGCATGCATTGCTTGCTTCTTAGAAACCAAGGCCTTAGACAGATTATGTAATGCCCTAAATGTAATTGAAATTAATTTCTTAGGAGGCCTACAGATGAAAAGAAATGAACGAAAAGGACTGTTGATATTTTTGCACAATACCGTACACAACGCTGTATGCTTTGCAGTTTTTAACGCAACAGTATACACAAGAACTCAAACACCGGCACCGCAGCATGCATCTCCGATGAGGCTGATGGTCATTCTGTGATGGAATCAGTGCTGCATTTACAATTATGGCCTATCATACTCCATACCCCACTTCTGTTTTCACGGGGTGGCCAGCCGTTCGAAAATACGCCAGCGAAACGAACCCTTGACCCAGCATTCATTCATTCATGTATCACGCATCCGCCGTTCATGAATGAAACTGCGGACGAATTCCCTGAATGGGCTCCGGCTCTGAGCAGTGACGTCACATCCGTGACGGTATTGTTGACGTCACACATTTGACGAAGAGCGGCTGGCATGCTTTAAGCTGGGCAGCACTCCTGTGTATGATATCATCATTCGTCGGTCTTGACCAACGCTACAAACGCCGCCCGACCTTTCCTGTGGGCGGTTCTTGCTGTTCGATACGATCATTTCTGCGGACCTAGGGGCCGATTAGCCCTCGCCTGCAGACATTAATGCCAAAAATCTCATTCATCAGTGATGACATTCTTCTGATCATCCGACGATGACAGCATACTCCGATTCATTCAGCTGTGATGGCATGTTCCTGAGCTTAAAATAATTGGTAGGCCGATCTTTTTACGTGACGAAATCGCCGTTCGCAGACAAAAAAAGCAGAGCTCATGTTTGTGGTTTGCACATCAGTATAATAAGTCATCGCACCCTGGTAAGCATTGGCCAATGCATATCATTTAGGCGCTACTTTGCAATGGTACGCATAATGTAATCCTCAGTCACAAAGCGAAACTGCCGCGTCCGATTAAGCCATGCCGTCGCGCCGTGCGCCGTTTTAAAATCTTCTTCGGTGATGAAGTGAAAACGCTGTTTGGGTTGGTTCTTTGTTTGGCCGCTCTCCTTATAAGGAGGCGTTATAACGCTGGTTGGAGTATGGGATCTTGTCTTAGCTGTATGTCCTGTGGGTGACAAGAGCAAGCTCCATTCAGAGGCAGCATTTGCAGTCGCCCCACCATCCAAACACATCGCTATTCAGTCGATTCTGCGTCGGCCAGACCGAGCCTTGGCCTGGTCTCTCACAGCAAGATCTGCTACAGTCTGTTCTTTGATGACTCCCAATCGCCTAAACGTGTTACGGTCGTTAAGAGCCAGTGGCAGCTAGAGGAGTGCCAGGAACCGGTGGCAGTTAGCCGGGTGTCAGGAGCCGGTGGCCGCTAGCAGAGTGTCAATCACGTGACATTTTTTCCAAGTCAGTGCGTTTTTCACCGTCCTGGCTCCGCTTACCACTACCTTGACCTCAGCACATGCCCCTCATTTTCAGCGAGGCCTGCGTGACTAGGGAATCACAGCAGCGCAAGGTGTCTCGAACACCGTTCATCCTGGTGGTAGCGGCTGATAGCAGCGGACTTTTGTTAGCTCAGAAGGCCGGCGAAATCATAAACCATGTTGCGACATGGGATCGGGTGATACCCATGCCACAACATGGTGTGAAGAGCACGTACCGCCCTGTCGGAAAAACAAACACTTAGTCTTGCCGCCCGAAAGATTATAACGTGTCCTCTCAGACAAAAGCTTTGTCAGCTCCCCGACACCGCCTCGAGCCCGCTGCTGTCTACATCTACGCATGATCGGTATGCGCTGGAGTACAAATAACAATGGAGAACACCGTCGAGACACGGTTGTATTGCCGCTAGAACAGTGGTCATCCCATCTCCCCACAGTTCGAAAACCAACAATTCATGCATCATCGACAGCACGGTACGAGACCACGGAATGTTCTGGAGCGGCGCGTGCTGTCATCCGGCGCCCCTGGGCCAGATCAGTGCCTTGACCAGCGCGGTGCTGCCCGTGTCACGCACCAGCTTGCTCTCACACTCGAGACTCGGCCCAACAGCTCGCTGTTCACACTCGAGACTCGGCCCACCAGCTCGCTGCTCACACTCGAGACTTGTCCCAACAGCTCGCTGTTCACACTCAAGACTCGCCTCAACATCTCTCTGTGCACACTCGAGACTTGCCCCAACAGCTCGCTGCTCACACTCATAACTCTCCCCAACAGCTAGCTGCTCGCACTCGAGACTCGCCCCCACGGGTAGCTGCTTGCACTCGAGACTCGCCACAAGAGCTCGCTGCTCGCATTTGAAACTCGCCTAACCGCTCGCTGCTCATTCTAGAAACCCGCCCCAACAGTTCAATGCTTGCACTCGAGATTCACCCCAACAGTTCAATGTTCGCACTAGAGACTCGCAGCCGGAGCTGACTTTCCCCCTCCCGAGGCCCTCGACAGAGCTGGCTTCTCGTCCATGAAGCACTCACAAGAGCTTGTTGCTTGCCCACAAAGCACTCACAAGAGCCTGTTGCTTGCCCACAAGGCACCCGCGAGACCCCATTCCTCATCCACGCCACGGGAGCGCCGCACCCTGACCCGGGACAATGTGGCATAAATATGTACAGACATGAGATGCAACTGGACATGTTCAGTGCAGTATGGGAGGGCACAGGTGTTCATCTTGCAGAGGCCTGGCACGTCCCATCCTTGCTGGCGGTGCACTGATATTTTATATTAAGGCCTGGCACGTCCCATCCTTGCTGGCGGTGCACTGATATTTTATATTAAGGGCAACGTGTGCGCGGTGCATTTTCTGACTAGCCTATTGCCCAACCAGAAAACCCATAAAACTTGGCAGACGTTGGTCCGTTGTCAATTGTGAGCTGTGGGTAGATGGCACCTCTATCCTCGAGGTGCAAAAGGCACATCGCGTTCAGCACGTACCAAAAGATCGTCACAGTTATTCACATCGCTAGATCGAGAGCAAACAGCGACCAATGCAATGCCTATCGCCAAGTCCGGCTGCATCTCAGACATACAGGTTGTACGCAAAGGTGGGGTCAGTGGGGATCGGGGCGCGTCCCCAACGCATCTTGAACCTTGACACCATGCGTATGCAGCCGCACGAAAAGCATTAACCTAAGGTACTCTCTGTCTCCTCGATTTCCCCTCCGTCCGACCCCTTCCCCTACCTTCAGCAGTCGACACTGCACCTAGCTGTGCGGACTGTGGCTGCACATGTGCCAGGCTCGTGTTCTCGCTATACATGGAGTGATCGTGAAATGTTGCGTAGGCAGATTAGCATTTAGAAGAGCAAGTATGTACAGAGCCATAGCGACACGACATTTTTTTTTTGTTGTTGTGTCTTTCGTGGTGTCCGCTGCCTCAATTACGGCCGCATTTACGGGCTATGTTTAGAGTGATATTCATCACCGTATGCCATAAGCTTGGCCACCAATGCTCCGAGGTCCGCACATATGAATGGTGTTAAGTTTGATCTGATGACTTGACGCGTGCGTCAGAATAGCCTTAACGTATGACCACAACGCAGGGTTATTTCAACCCTTCTATTTTAAACATGAAAAAAGCAGAACCATGTTCGTGATCCGTGGTGACGAAGTCGGTCGCTGATGTGTGACACACGTGATTGTGTTGGTAAAAATATTTGCTTGAAGCAACCGCGCAACAGCCGACACGCAGACCTGGTGACTAAAATCTAACGAACTATCCTACGTGTCAGCCCATGTCGCTCGCAACATTTTGCCATCCACTGTTCAGCGTTTTTCGCTACATTCCAACAAGTCGATCCATGCACGACTAAGAATAAAACGCTGTGCGTTACGTTTCCACTATGCCCACTCCCTCACTCACTGCCGCCAGTCAACAGCCCGCCTAGGAGTCCTTCACTCCGTCGCACCACGCGCCAGCAGCGCCCCCTATTCCGAGGGCGCGCGCCAGAGACCGTACCCAGCCCTGACAGAGACTGGACATCGCGTTGTACTCAAAACACGGGCGCCCTCTGCGCGCGCGGGCCGCTGCGACCGCCACGCCATCTGCCGCCGCGCCGCTGCTACGTCACGTTGGCCGCGCCGCGCGCGCGCCACACTGCGCCATCTCACGCTCCACCACGCGCGTCGTCTGCACTCGTTCGCGTGCTGCTTCGGTTCCAGCCTTGAGCGACGATCGGTCGCCCGGCGCAGCCGGCTCAGTGGTGAGAGTTGGCCAGAGTCTGCGCCAGGCGCACCAGGAACTCCTTGTCCTGCATGCGCCAGTTTTCCTCGCGGATGAGCTGCTCACGGCGACGGCGCTCCTCTGACAGCAGGAAGGCCCGCTGCATGTCCACCAGCTCCTGCAGCAGCGTCTCCATCCGCTCCAGGTGCGTAATGCTTTGGTCGTTGGGCAGCTGGTGGCGCGCGCTGTCATCATCTGCCGGAATAGGTGGCGCGTCAGTCGCCGAGCCGACCGCGAAACTGTCACCTCTCAACGGTGTCGGTTTTGGCGGGCCGAGATGGGGCATACAGCCGGACCACGGGCCCACATAACACAGTGACCAGCATATGAAAGGTGAGGAACCCATTCGTGGTCTTGATAAGCCTCCAAAAATGCAGAAATGGCCGTAACGGCCTACTCGAACCAGCGTCGTTAAAAACCGATGTTTGCACGCGCTTCACGAAATTATCAACTTACCCTGGTGTCATTGGCGAGCACAGCCTTCCATAGATTTCAGGGTGTCGGCCTTTTCAACCCCCGTGGAGAGCTTCCGTAAAACATGGGTTCCTTTCGACAGCCTTCGGGTCCGTCATGGTCAGCATAAGGTCAAAGCTACGAGAGGGAGAGAAAGAGAGGACGGCGATCTGTGCACACTGCACCGCCTCATGAATAATTCGCGCCCCATCTGGGCCCGTTATCTGATGGCTTGCAGGGGCGTATTCGGCCACCCTGTGCCACAGCTGTGGACCTCTGACCAACCGGCTACCCTGTGTCGCAAGTCAGTCAGCCACGCTGACTAGCGTCGCGGGGCGTGCACACGCTGAGGCGACTTTCTTTGAAGGGCCACACTGGACTGACGGGAACGGCACGCACCAGCTCGCAGCGGTGGGCAACGCAGGCACGGACACGCCAGCATAGTTGACTTTCTTTATAGGGTCCCACAGGACTGACAGGAAGGGCGCACGCCAGCTCCCAGCGGCGGGCGGCGCAGGCTCGGAAACGCTCGACGCCGAGGAAGCACCGGATGGACAGTGCGTGATAGTGGATCTGTCGATGCGTTTCCGGTTCAGCTCCGTCGCAAGTACCAACCGCTTCAGCTCCGTCGCAAGTACCAACCGCTTCAGCTCCGTCGCAAGTACCAACCGCTTGAGCCCCGTCGCAGGTACCAACGTCCGCCATTTGCGAGGGAGGCTACGATCGAAGATGGCCTGCCCGGCCTGTCACTACGTACACCACCCAGTCAGCGGCATGCGGTGAAGCGACGAAGCGCCGCACGGGTGCCCCCTGTGACGCGGTTACGTAACCTCACACGCGGTTCTACTCAGCCAGGCCTCCTTCATGGCGAGCACAGATGGTTTACGGCTGGGGCCCACAACGCTGGCCGGGACTGTTCCAGTGGCGCGCTCAAGTACACAATCCGGCGGGGCAGGTCGCGACGACGCCTCCCCACACCACGCCTGCCATACGCATGCCTGTTACAACCGCGGGCTCGAAAGAGCTTTTGAAAGCAGGCGAACACGTCTGAACCAACACGCTGTCCACGTACACAGACATGCTTCCAAGGGCGGGGCCGCACCGGACTCGGCACGTGTTATGTCTGCCGCGTTCGTGGACCGGTCGTCTGGCCGTCGCTACGCCTGGTCTGCTGCAAAGAGTTACCGGGCAGTGACTCTCAACCCACGCAGTGCTGTCAGCTCGTTTCCCCCGCTTTATAACAGCCAGCTGGGCGCTGATGTCATTTAATGCGTCCGGATGGGTGCGCAGGGGCGCGCTCAGCAAATGGCCGGGGTGGGGCGGAAACTCACTTCCCTGTTGATCTTCGCTAGCGTCCGCTCTCTCACGGGATTGGGACTGCTTGTGGAAACACATTTGCTGTCCTGGTTGCGATGTATCTTAAGATGGTTGCGGTCAAGGAAGACTTTGAGCTGCTGGTGTTTTAGTTGTTTAACTTAATGACGAAACTGCATTTACAAGACTTCTGTTGGCGCACAAGCAGCAGCACCTATAAAACTGTTCTTTCCATAATTCATCATCACTGCACTCGGATTTTTTGAAATAATTAAAAAGGAATCACGATAACCTTCTTAAAATAATTATATGCGAGGTATTTGGTAAGTCGCGCATTTCATGCGAAATACAGCTTACTTAACGAATATCACGTATCTAATTATTGGAACGAGGTCATCTCACTTCCCTTTACATACTTGGCATGCCTTACATTGTACAAGCAGTGTACCATCTTAAGATTTTTAAAACAAGGTGAAATATGATCACTGCTGCCCATTTCCACTTCAAGCCAAATCAATTGTTATTTTGAACAGTACAACAGGAAATCACACGCATGTACTATTTCGCATTGTATCATTTTCCTAATGGTTTATAATGACAACTTACAACAAACTGTGTAAAACAGCAGTCAATGACAGCATTTCATTTCATTTTGTAATGATAGCATCTGGATAGAAAATCAATTGCATAGCACCACCTTGCCCTGAGAACGTTAGCAATGATGTCTCATGGAAGCGCAGTCTTCAAGTCATGCTATGTTATGTCTTCTGGTCATGGCTTTCTGACATCCTATCGGTGTCTTTCACCTTATAGGGAGGGAGTACTCTCTCCGTACCTGACAAGACAAACACATTCTTGCACAGTGCTTGAGCTATTAGGCGGTGGGCGGTAAGTACTATAGATGTGATTGTGGCAATGTGCTTGCGTCTTTGTATTGTTTTCATTCCTTGAGTGCATTCTATATGCATGAAAATAGCAATACAAGTTTGTCTTACTTCCACTGGCCGTGCTTCATTTGTCTTCTTGATAATAAAATATGTTTTTTTCAGATAGTAAAGCACAATTCATATCCGTAAAACTACAAGCTTATTTCTTATGTCATGCAGACTCCTCCGACGTTGAGATAAAATCTGGAAACACAAGAATGTACAGACTGACGAAGATAAGAGTGATTTTGCGCAAACTATCTTCGGTCTAAACGATAATGCTAAGTCAAAAGCCCGGAAACTCGAACAGTGTATATAAAAGCTTGTCAAGGCTGAGTGAGTGATCGTTTTTAATCAAACAAGCTTAAAAGAAAGGATCTGCCGATATAGATAGATAGATAGATAGATAGAGAGAGAGATAGAGAGAGAGAGAGAGAGAGAGAGATAGCGAGAGAGAGAGAGAGAGAGAGAGAGAGAGAGAGAGAGAGAGAGAGAGAGAGAGAGAGAGAGAGAGAAGAGAGAGAGAGAGAGGAGGAGAGAGAGGGAGAAGAGAGAGAGGAGAGAGAGAGAGAGAGAGAGAGAGAGAGAGAGAGAGAGATGTATATGTATAATGTGCATATATGTATACATGTATGCATATACAAGAACAAATGTACATGCATAAATATATATATATATATATATATATATATATATATATATATATATATATATATATATATATAGTATAGATTATAGAGATATAGATAGATATATATATTAGATATGATATATATATATTATATATATATATATATATATATATATATATATATATATATATATATATATATATATATATATATACAGATCGATATCAAAAATGACATGAGCGCCAAGGCCCATGACACGAGAGTACACCGACTGACATTTTGCTTTCCTGGCTACGCCCATGGCTTACGGTGTAGGTGACCCTTCACTAAACGGCCGCAAGCACAGCCGAGTCCGGATCAGCAAGAAACGTTCACTGCGTGATGGCCTATCAATTAGCCGGAACTGCGTGACGTCAGTGCATTGCGAATGACGTCAGGTATCCCGACCAATGGGCGCCCGCATGGGGCGCCAGTTTGCATTCCTCGCGGATGCGTGCGTGCATTTGGCGGCGAGCCGGACGGAACGCCCTCTGCATGCCAGCGGCGAGCCCAGGAATGGTAATTGGGAGGACAGACGCCTTCACAGCGGCAGTTTTGAGGTGCTCCACCGAGGGGCGAGATGGCAAGGCGCGACAAGGGCGACAGGAATACGAGACCACTTCCCACCGTCTCATTCACTGGTGCTATGGGACCAGCGAGAGCTGGACCCATAGCGTCCAGGGCTGCGGACAAAACCCTAATATATCGCAGCGCAAGCCGTTTCATGGCGTTCAATACCGGGGAAAATTGCCCCGCCTCGGGGGCTCCAGGGAATTTTTATTAGCTTCTTCCCACACAACGTCATAGACCCCCACGCTAAATCTTACAAGCTGTTGGTAGCCGGGTTCATCAACCCGCACTCCCAGAACCCAGTAGCTCCCGAGCCCGCGCTTCGGGTGCCGTCAATTTGGAATCGATTTAGGAATCGCTGTACCGACACCCCATAAAGATTCTGATCGGACACGAACAATTAACCGCACGATCCGGGCACCAGCAGCTGATCTTTTGCGGGGCCATAGAAATGCACTGTCACGACAATTGTCCACATTGTGAATTCCTCAGTAACAATCCCGTTGAGAAAATTGGTGCGATTTGTGCGGTTTAGGCGCATCACGGGTCTTGGCGAGTATGCTGAGCATGGCCAACTCAAGCCATGCGGTTCATGGCCAATTAGCGCATGAAAGCACAGGAATGACTTGCCGCAGAGAACGTTTGACCGTCCAGAGCTTTTACGCCAGTTTGCTTATTACTGTAACGAGAGAAAGCGAGACTTCAGGTCATACTCACACCTTATACAACAAACATCTGTGACTGGTTCAGAGTTAATCTAGTCCTTACGAGTTACCTTGGCACTTATCGAACACTGTCCACGTGTGCATGCACGACATTGCAGCACCCCGTACCACAAAAGCCTGTCACGTTGTTGCTGTCATTGTTAAAATAGCTCTAACCTTTACAGTTATGACCATAAAATGCCTTCCCTGTTGAGTGGAATTACTAGGGAAGGTAGTCCGCGACGTTCGTTCAGCAGAATATTTGTTTCCGTTTAGTAACCTCTTCTTACTTTTATCAACGTAACGGGGCCAGCTCCGATGAATCGCACGGCCGAACGACTAGCTTCGAGGACAGATAACAGTTGTAGATCTAGTTATACCAGTACATGGACGTTAATGAGCCGACTTCGCAATGGGGTTTGCTCACCTTTTCACGACGCTTGTACACACACGCGTTTCTGCGCGTATCTATCGCAATCTTCCTGTTGAAACATCGTTTCCCACCGCTAACACAGCACGAAGTCCCCCTCCAACACGCATTCAAAGGCCATCCAAAACTGGCATTCGTTTCTTGCCGTCTGCCCCCAACTCCTGACCCCATTGCCAATACACTCCGACCCCGTACCGCGCCCGCGAGGCACCAGCTGACACCTCGCTGAGGTCACATTAAGGTCACGCTGAGGTCAGCCCGCTGGGTCGTTCACCCTTGACCGTTCGCTGGTGCCTATCGTCCCGCTGTCAGCATTGCCAAACCGAGGCGCTATCAGCTGGGTGGCACACCTTTTGTGGACAGGGCTACGGGCAGGACGTAACTGTATGGGCCGTACGGACGGGACCGCAAATCTCAGGAGCTGGTCACATCCCCGGGTCGGTACACGTAGTGCCCTAAAATCTAGCAAGGCGTCGTTTGGCGTACTTCCGACGCACCGTCCCATCGTTTCGGTGTTGGCAACAAAGGGCAGCAGCGGGTGCCTCGCGATGGACAAAATGCATTTGCGGAGAAAACCAGTTTTGAGATGCGGTTCAGTGGCCCTCGCGTGGCAAACCTATTGCACGCGTCGCCATGTTTTAATGGAAGCGAAACGTAAATAGCACTGTATAGACCTATCCAGTGAACATCGCGTGTCATGATGGAACATCCACGGAGACTGGCCGCATTGCGCACGTAGGGTTCGCAGAAAGCTGCAGCACGCAAACAGCGCACAATTCCCCGGTAGGATCATCACCGCCGAGTCTTGTAAAAAGTTCGCCGAGTCGTGCCCAGGAATCCTCAGCATGTTGGATTTGTCAGAAGCTATGCAGCCTTGAGCGCTGCAAATTCGGTCGAAGGTCTGCCTCCGTTAGGTCATGCCACTGGAAACGGGTCACCGAAAGATGTTTTCGTGCGTCACATCACCCGGAGAACGCCGTTAACAAAACGGTATCAAACCCGATATCAAAACAAGGTGACTGTTTGGGTGCAAACCACTGATACAAATTGATTCAGCGAGGTCGGAGATCGCAACCAGCCCAAGAAAGATACACTCTGCCTTGTATTGCAGAACAAAACCGCGTGGTGTCTTACCCTCCCTCCCTTGACCACATTCTCAGCACGCCAGCGTGGTACGCGGGGCGAGATCGCAGACAACGGGGCTCTACCGCAAGGAAAGTCCACTTTGCTTGCAGACGGTGCTGAAGACGACAGCATCATTGGTCACAAAACCTGATCGCTGAAGAGTCACGGAAATCAGTCAGCTCCAGCCGGAGTTCCGTGGCAGCTGTTCTATGATAACGCGCCGGCGATATCCACTCCGCATACCGATCAAACGGCACTCCGCATTCGGGGAACGTAACAGCGGACGGAGCACGGAAACTAGATAAGCCAGACAGGCTCAGACAATGGGCGAATACGGACAGCTTGATACCATGATCCCAATGCGGAAGGCCACCCCTCCCTCGTGCTCAAATGTCTGGATGCTCCTCCGCGCCGCCCAGCCGGTGGCGGGTTCTCCTCTGATTCCATCAGAAAACCTGATCTGGACTCTTTCCGGCAGGCCCGGCGGCCCATCGGTCGGCTGGACACGCTCCTTGTATGGCGCTGGCGATGTCGGAGCGGCGGTTATTCCAGCCCGCCCCCCCCCCCCCCTCACCCCTCACACCTCGCCGTCTGCAATCCTGCAGCCGGTCCTGCAACCTCGCAGCCACCGCGAGCGGCCTGATCGTGCGCGATACCAGCCAACCCGCCCACGACGCTACGTAACTTGCGACCGGCCGCGCCGCCGGCAGCGTCGCCATGACAACGGCACAACATGGCCGCCGCTGGCGCGCAGCGCAACAATTCAATTAGCGGTCTGGCCGGCGGTATCCGGCGACGCGGCCGCCGCGCGGAGCGCTGTCATTTTGTCTTTACGGGCGACGCAATGGTCGACGAAACGGCGGCGGCGGCGGCGACCGCCGGCCCGCCTGCGCAGCGGCTTTTATGCCCTGCACGCGGCGCTCGTAATTCACGGTCCGTGATTGGGGTTCACGTCATTAGAGGTGGCAGTCGTGAGACCGGCGGCAGCGGCGGCGAGGGAGGGCGGCAGCGGCGGTTGTGACGCTCGCCATCGAGCACAGCCGATGAGTAGCACGAACATCTGCCTGTTTAGGTAACAACACAGTCGCCAGCGCCGGTGTCAAGGGCGCGGCGAACATCGACGTGGCCTCCCGGCCCGCACGGGCGGCTTGACGCAGCTATGTGAGATAAGCGCCTTCCCAGCGTCCCTGCTCCCCCTCTTCGTCTCGTGAACCGTGCCAAGGAGAACAACCCGCACAGTGGATGCCCCCAAAGCAACAAGAACCCACACTCCTCCACCGCTCGCAGCGTGCCCGCATTGATACAATGGTCTCGCGACTGGTCCAGGCAACTGGGGAAGGTCAGAAGTGGGGCCTGGTTCGCACCGGTGGTGTTAACCACTCGCGCCACACGCTTTCCAGGCTGGTACTCTCTCTGTTTCTCCGGGCTATTTGCACACGACATGAGATCCTCGAGGCCCGCCATGCCAGGAGGTTCAGAACTGCTGCGCATGTGCTGCTCCGCGTTATGGAGAGATCACCATCCACGTCGAGGTCGAGCCCAAGCTCCCTTTGTGCAAAATGTGTTCAGGAAGACATGGACGTAAGAACTACCCCGAAGCGGGTGGACCAATCCTCGTATTGCACTTGATCTTTCACGTGCATTGCGATCCAGTTTCTGCCTTGATAAACAGTGGATGGGACATGGCGCTTGAGACCTCCCTGGTCCCACAGCTACGCCCATGATCAAAGGGGCGTCCGCAAGGGCTGGTGGATGCAACGAACGCGGTCTGGCAACTGGGTGTATCGCGGGCAGAAGAGCATTGGGACCTTTGCTCTGTTGAGCGTGAAGGACCTGAACGAAACAAGACAAAAGCAGGACCGCTCCACTCACCCGACGCATCACAGGCCGAAAAGAATAACCAACCGATCTAAGGCGCGTGTTCTCAGCGGAGCCCAACCGTGACGGTCGCCTAGCTCCCGAGCCCCCTGGTACTGACCTGGCCGGTGCTGACCGTTGCTGTGCTGCTCGTCCCTCTCCAGTGGCTCTGGTGCCGAGCGCAGGCTCGGGTGGCCGGGCAGCACGCTGAGCAGCTGGCGCGCGCGGGCCGTGATCAGATCACGGGCCTCCACGGTGTAGGCGCGCGGGTCCTCGGCCGGACGCGGCGGACGGCGATCGGGCGGCGAGCGGCTCGGCACGCGCAGGTCACGGGCACCGGAGCTGTCCTCGACGCCGTCGGCCGGGTGGGGCTCGGGCGAGCCGGCGCGGTACGGACGCTCGCCGGCGCCGCCGCCGATCGGGTTCAGGTGCGGCAGCTCGCGCTTCATGCCGCCCGACAGCTCGTCGTCGGCGGCGCCCGAGCCTCCGCGCGCGGCCAGCTCTGCCTCGTAACGCTCCTCCCAGTTGCAGTAGCTGGAAGTGGGGGTGTGTCAGGCAGGTCGGCTAGTTCGGGGTTCGCGGTGGTTGATGGACGGTGCGGTTAGTTGGAGTGATGGGGCATCAAAACAATGACTGGTCAACCTCACTTCCGCCAAGATATAGCACGATATCAACTTTGAAGTGTTGACAAGCGTGTGGTAACTTTGTGTCATGGACAACTTGTCATATCAATCACGAGATGTCGTCGAACCCTGAATGCCTGCAACATGTACAAAAGTCGCATTCAACGTTAATACCACATTACTGACATTTTCAGGGTGTAAGGACCTGAGCTGAACGCGATTGTGCAAGCGACCTGTTTCGACCTTTCGTCATCGGTCGTAACTGTGACTTTTGGCCCGGTGAACCGGTTGTCCACACACTACCATCCCCGATGACCCTGCACGCCGGCCTCACCGTTTGCGTGGCGGCTGGTCACTGTCATCTTCGCCAGTTCTCTGGCCTCTGTCGCGCGGGGGATAGACTGGCTCAGCCAGTCGAACCGGCACCGGCCTCCAGGGCGTGGAGCGGTTCCTGTCCATCTCGATTGCCATACTGCAAACGGAGGATAAGGTCGGGTCAGGTCAGGTCAGGTCAGCTCAGGTAGTCAAATCCAATCGGAACATTCATGGCATCGGTGATTTGGTCCATCTCTGCGTCAACACTCAACAGATGGTCAAAAATAGCAGGTCAGGTCAAGGTCCCGCACGTGCAGTTAAGTCGTACGAAGCGTTAAGGGGTTCCCATCCACCTTGGCGGCCATGCTGCAAACAGAGGGCCAGTTCAGGCCATGCTCAGAGAATATCGCATTAGGTCACGTTAAGCCAGGACATCCAAGGCGTCGACGGATTTCGATTCACCCCAGCAACCGTCCTGTAAACAAAGGGTTCGGTACGATATCACGAAAGGCCTAGGTCAGATTGCGCTAGATCGGGTAAGATCAAAGGTCAAGCCAGTTGCCTCGTATGCGAATGCTTTGGCTGTCGGCATAGCGTCTAGTGTCAGTCTACACTGCTGTCGCCATCTCGAAAGTTATGCCGATGACAGTTGATCTGGTCGGATCAGGTCGAAGCCATCGAGAGAGTGAGGCGGCTTCCGACCCTCTCCCCGGGAGTGGAGTCAGAACGTGTTCGGGTCAGGTCAGGTCAATGTGCTCCACTGGGTTCACAGACTAAAGTTCATTCCTGCTGTGGCACCTAGGGGATTGGATTCACCGAAAAAAATGATTTCCCAGCTAAACGCAACGGGAGTTTTTGAAAGATCCAAGGAAAGCGAGACCGTTGCCACATCTTGACTACCACCATAGCACTCCTCTATTCCCTTGACTACCACCATAGCACTCCTCTATCTTGACTACCACCATAGCACTCCTCTATTCCCTTGACTACCACCATAGCACTCCTCTATTCCCTTGACTACCACCATAGCACTCCTCTATTCCCTTGACTACCACCATAGCACTCCTCTATTCCCTTGACTACCACCATAGCACTCCTCTATTCCCTTGACTACCACCATAGCACTCCTCTATTCCCTCATGATGAAACCACGCCGTGATAGGCGAACTGGAACGAAAGAGGCCAACGGCTGAAAAAAGGAAGAAAAAGACGAGAGACACTCAGTATAGCAAGGCACCAGCAGGTTATGCATCTCCAGAGCGTGAAGCACCTCCTGACATGAGAAGATACTGTGAACAGAATTCCACGTCGCCACCACCTGTCATGCGTCCCCTTATTTTCGTCAGCATAGGCCATAATACAACGTTGGCAGGACCCCATCTCAAACTGAGGGGCACCGGTCAAACTTAAAAGCCGTGAAATTTACATATGAACCCTCACCGTCTTGGTTCAACTATCTTAGCTGTTTAACCATTCCCGCATGTTCATAGGAAAAGATTACGGGTGCTGTGAGGTCGACCAGCGATAAGCCGGCGCCGACATTTGGCGACCATGTTCCCCGAACCGGTTCGGCGACCGATCAGAGTTTTGTTGGCCGGGCTGGGTCTAATCCTTCATTGTTTCCCGCATGGCGTCTGTTGTGTGTGACAGCGGCCAGCGGCGGTCCGTTCAGTTCTGCAGCGCCCGCGCCGGTTTGCAGGCCCACCCGAAAAGCGTCTGGCTGGAACATGTCCAACACGCCGGCAAACGGGATGTTCAAGGACGCTTCGGTCTGGGCAGGCAGTTTGACCGGTGTCGTAACGCCAGCTCGCTTATCCACTGCACTTGACGTTACGGAAACGCAGGGACGACGTGTGATGTACCTAATGATGTCAGTACCCGCCTATCTGGTTAGCCAACGCCATCGGTATTGAAATGGCTTCAGGCTCTGAGACGACCAGCTGGTTCTTGCGGAAGATCGCGACATACTGGTGCCACGCCGACCTTTCTGCACCGGGGGTTAGCATGCTCTCCGTGAACGCGGCCGCGCGACACTAATATGATAATGGTAGCACCGCTAGAACCGCTCACAACAAAATTAGCTGCACAATTAATGTAATCAGCATCACCACAGTCAACGCAACCATAATCGCACACATATTATTGCAGACATGTCTGGGTCTTGACTAACCGCGTCACAGATCAGTTGTTGCAACAGAGTCGGTGACATTCCCGCGATGATCACGCTTTATCCCGAGCCAAGCCATCCGCCACGAAGCGACCTAAAAGGCTAGCCAAGCTCTCCCAGTGGCTCACGCCGCCGGCGCGCGCTGCCGCCAGGGCGTGCTGCCGCTCGGGCGCGCGCGGCCGCGGACGCTGCAGACAGTGGGTCCGCACGACAGCGGCTCCGTGACTTTCGGCGATGACATTAGAGCCGCACGGATAACGAGCTAGGGAGCTGGAGAAACAGAACTGCGTCGTTTGTCGGTCTGCCAGCGGCCGGTATTCCAGAAACAGGCTGACGTGATTACTGCCACATGAATCAGCAGCTTCGACTGGACCGTGCAGCGCGGACGGCCGCTGCCGTTACAGTGGCGTGAACAGTGGGTGGCGGTTAGGTTTGCGAAACGTTGTCATTAGTTCGTGATAAACAACCCGAGCTGTGAGCACCATGTCGGAAATGTTCAGATGCTAGTTCGTGTGGGCGTTACGACGGGTAGGATATGACCTGAAGCGCTAACAAGATAATGAAAACGCGTCCTTATTAAACTAGACCTAGAATCTGGCCTCCGGCGTTGATATGCGCTGCAGTCGCAGCGGTGACCCAAAACTAGTGGGGAGCAATGGTGGACACCCGTCACTCCACCAGACTAGTGGGGAACAATGGTGGACACCCGTCACTCCACCAAACCAGTGGGGAGCAATGGTGGACACCCGTCACTCCACCAAACTAGTGGAGAACAATGGTGGACACCCGTCACTCCACCAAACTGGTGGGGAGCAATGGTGGACACCCGTCACTCCACCAAACTAGTAGGGAACAATGGCGGACACCCGTCACTCCACCAAACTAGTGGGGAGCAATGGCGGACACCCGTCACTCCACCAAACTAGTAGGGAACAATGGTGGACACCCGTCACTCCACCAAACTAGTGGGGAACAATGGTGGACACCCGTCACTCCACCAAACTAGTGGGGAACAATGGTGGACACCCTTCACTCCACCAAATCATCACTGCAACAAGCCGTTTGCGATTTGTGTTCAACATTTGTATGTCCGTCTTCTGATATCAGGCATCTGGCATTCATATTTGAGCGATGTTCTCTGTACAGCGTTGGAGATCATGAAGATATCTAATCACCAGCTGCTATCGGTATAATAAACTGACACATTTTGCTATCCTGCTGCTCTGTGTCGAATTTAACACCACAACCACTGATGGGCAGACAAGGATTTAGCTCCGCTACCATGCCGGGTTCCGACGGCCTATTCACTGTTAGCCACGTATCCCATTGCCTCTCGGACAAAGGCAGGAGATGTCTCAAATGCGTTCCACAATGTTGACAGCTACTACGGGGTCCTTCCCAAGCAACATACCGTACGACGACTAAAATAACCAATCAGGTACTAAACGTAATGTCTATCTTGAGATCCCTGCGTGCCCAAAACATCACCATGATTGGAAAACCTGCCGACGTACCCAGCCTCGAACCAGCGCTGCAAAACTACCGTCAGGATACTGCGCGCCCGCGCGACGACGCGACAGCTTCCAGAAGCCAAAGCCAACCATCTGAGGCCCCGCCGAAGTCACTGGAGCTGCACCCGTGGACGCGCCGACGCGACGGCGGTGTTCAGAGAGCTGCTCCGATCCAGTCTGACCGCAGACCGCTCTGGGGCATGTCACTGATAACTGATCCTTCGAGTCGGAGGGGTCGATGGGACGAGCAGAGCCATCTGTGGTGTCTGATGGCATCCATCCACCAGCTACCGTCTGTCCGAACGGGTGCACTCCTGCACGGCGATGACGAAAGGCGCTCACTGGCGCATGCGACCGCGGATAGCAGACAGGAACGAGTTAGAACAACAGGAACATTCACAAACACGCTGAAGAGCAGCCACTTGGACAGCGCAGTCAAGGCATTCAGTACCGCGGCGTAAAGAGCGTGTGTACCATATTGACGATGATACGAGTAGCTCTAAAGCAGATCAAAAGCTACACAAGCCAGGCAGCCTTCACGGCGGTGCACACGGCCTTTCCAAGCACGCGTGGGGTCACTTATTCAACATCCATGACCTGATCTGTGCACATACATCCCCCTTATGTGGCCTCACCTGCTGATCTGTGCACATGCATCCTGCTTCTGTGAGAGCTGTAGCCTCACCTGTTCGGTCGTCCCTGCCCCGGGGATTGCGTTCTCCGCTGGCGTGTCCTGACCCCGAGTTTCTCCTGATCGTTCCTGCCCCCTCCCCCCCACACCCAGAGACTGCGACCCCTCACCTGTTCGGGTCATCTCTTCCGCCCGGAGAGACGGAGTGTGAGTGCGGGTAGAGGCCGGCCGAGTCGGACAGGCCTGAGGTGCTGGGCCCGCTCTCCTCCGACGAGCCGCCGTCCAGGTCCATGCCCTCGCCGCCGACCTGGGCCGCCGCTGCCTGCAGGTCGAACTCGGGCGAGGTCATCACCTGCAACGGCGGCGCAGACATAGTCTGAAAGCAGGCCGAGGTTAGCGGGGTCGGGGTCGGGCGGCTGCGAGCGGGGAGGGGAGCGGCAGAGGTCACGAGCGCGTGCAGGCTATTCAGAGGAGCGGGTTGCAGATGTTGGCTGCAATGAGACCGCACAAGACGGGGCATGCTTGAGTCCAGTGGCTGATGAGGGCAAGAGTATGAAGACAGCTTGACGTGGCTGAAAGCTATCCCAAATGTGGTTGCATAGGATCGAAACAAGTGCGATTATAGCTGAAGACTTTCGTGCGCTGCAGATGCAGTCATAAGTAAACGACCAGTCAGAGTTCTGCAGTTGTAAACTGTCGCACTGAGCATGAAAGGTGACGCGGGAACGCTATCAGGATAACGCAGCCATTCCGTTACGGACAACGAAAATTGACGTTGAGTGACACCGAGGGAGGGAGTGTCACTGGGGACGCGCTACGGCGAAATCTGACAGCGTGCGGCGCTAAACGCAAAAGGGCATCCATTGTGAGAGGGAAGGGGCAGTCATTCCGGGCGAGGCTTTGGCAAGGAACGGGCGCCGCGAATGGCAAACCAGCGAAAGTTCTTTGTTTATGACAGTGTCTTCACATTGGCACTGCCGCAACACTTGCCTTTCCACTAGACCAAGGCGTGCATTTGTATATTTGTATATGGGCGCCTTCAACGCATGCCACCCAACACATTTTGTGATGATATCGTCTAACAGTATGACCTAATCAGTGGTACAACAGCCTATATAAGCTGCTGCCATGTTTGAGAGGAAAGCAAAAGGCGCTTTTTTACACGAAACTCATGCTCCAGCCAATGCTTTGCTCATTTAATACGATGTGAATAGTATATGAATATCTGGGAGAAAGGAACACGTGAAGAGAATAACAATCACTTTCCATGCATTTAGCTTACAACTGATTTGGGGGGGGGGGGGTTGTCCTAAAAATTGTTTACAAAGATCGACCTCCAGAAGAGGTGCCCAGAAACTTACATGTTGAAACAGAGAGGTACGCATGTTACTCATACATTTTGTTAAAGCAACGGTAGGGTAAGTGCTAAATTAAAACGAGGAATAACTTCTACAGTCCGACCAGAATGCCGGGGACAGGAAAACATTTGGACGGTGTTCCCATGTTCATCCTTGGGGGTGATTCGAGGAGGCTGCCGTCAGCGCTACAAATAACGGATTTGACACAAGGTAAACCAAGGCGATACCAAGTGTGTCAGAGGGGTGTGTTGGCTAACGCATGAACGAAAGGTACCATCCTACTGCCAGGCTTGACAGCCGGTCAAAACAAGGCAATAATTCACGCGGAGGAGAAGCAAACCGCATAACGAAGGCAAGACTTCCATGCCGGCACGCCATACGCTCCTGTTCGCAGTCTGCGACCGCTCCTGCCAAGACAGCCGGAGGCCTAGCGGCCTCAACACCCGGCAGGTGTCGCCAACGGACGAGTCAGCGTTATGATCCTCCGGACCTGATCCTGTGACGCAATGCTGCTGGCTGATGGCGCTGCAAGGTAACGGTAGCCTAGCGGCCCGGGCCCTCTCTGCACAGCAGAATGTCTGTAGCGAACGACTTTATTGACAACAAAACGCTAATTAGCAATAGTAATAACTTAGGCGAGCCTTTGAAGGCGCATGCATTCAAGTTATGACACTCGAATGCAATAAGTTACATTTTATCGTAGAGCGGAAAACCGGACATCATGCATAACCAAAGCCAGGTGCCCAAACTTGCTCATCGCTCAATACCCGTGAGCCCCTGCCAACCTGACGGAGCTGTGGGGTGATGAACTATTCCCTGTCACGCTACTACACCAGGTGCACGAAAACAAGCACTGGCATTTGTGCCCCTGACACCCGTGCCAACAAAATAAAACGGGGCGATGTCGGCCGGGCGGCAGGTGGGTTCAGCTGGCAGTTCTGAGCTCGGATAAAACATCAAAGGGCAGAGGAGACAATACTTAAAAGACCACTTGCTCTACAGAAGGCACCGGCGACATCACCAACCCGTGCCATGTTCAGCATTTGCTATTACTTCGTCCCGCGCCAACAAAAGAAATGGCTGTACTGGCCGGAAAATGCAACCTTATCTTACACCCGATGCCGCGAAGAAAATCAGCGCATTTCTTCCTGAGAACATTCCGTGTTTTTGGCAGGAAAACCAGACCACTAACACCCAGGACATATCTGTCAGCTTCGCGGTCAATCCTGCACATCTGCGACCACGTGGAGAGCATATGCCTAGCACATGACTCGTCGTCTGCAGAATATACCGCTATGCCTCACGGAACGTATCCCCTGTCCTAGAGCAGCAGAGTGGCATTCTCCGCGCGTCTCTCCCGTTACACATCGCCTTGAGTCGGACCGCATGTGACACAACGGTTACACGGGACAACAATGGCAAGGGGCCCGTGCCGTGAGTCGGCCGTGTTTCTCCGTCACCGTCGAGACCGGACCGGCCAGCAACCACCAACACCGCCGCTCTCACCTGGTCAATAACGGCGAAAAATTTGCAGCGTGACTCGGGGTCGACACCCTTCTTGACGCGGCGGTAGCTGGTCATCAGGTTGTGCATTTTGGATTTGCACTGCTCGGCGCTGCGGCGGTATCCCTGGAAAAAGAGCGGCCCAGTGTCAGCGCTGCTGGCCAGATGTTGTCAGCTGTCAGTGGCCAGTCAGGAGCGTCACAGTAGATTAGAAATCCCGGCTTGCCAGGGATGTAGCCAGCAGACATATTTTGTGTTGAGCCCGGTTTATTCTAGCAACAGGCAGCAGCGAACGACCAGCACAGTCTGGCACATACACGCTCCAAGCTGGTCAGCGCCCTTCAGCGCTAAATCGGGGACGACTTCCACATTCGAACGGCGAGACCAGTGACATCCACATCCCAGAGGCCCACCAGCATCCTCACAGCCTCCTAGCCAGCCCCTAGCAGGATCCTCGCCAGCATCCCAACAGGATCCCGCCATGCTCCGTGCAAGATCCTCGCTGGCACTCCCGCAGCCTCCCCGTCAGCGTCCTGGGGCCACACCAGCCAAGACGTGCCGTCCTAACACGATACATACGTCAGCGCCGGCACGCACGGCGGGCGCGCCGCTCAGGCCGCTGGCGGCGCGCGGGGCCTGGCTGGCTGTGCTCTCCGCCGAGCCAACCTCCGTTCGCCCACCGGACGGGGCCGGAAAATTGAGGTTTATGGCGAAGCGCGTCATGTAACCGTACACTGATTGCCGCTTCAATTAGCCATAGAATATGCACGCTGTGAAACCGGCCGCGCGCCGGGGCCCCGCTCGTAAAGCGGGCGGGCGGTGCCGGAGCGGCGGCCGGCCACGACCGCGCCCGCGCCTCGTTCCTGGAGCCGGACGTCACATCTCGGGGAATCTCGAGCGTCGCACGGACGCGGCCTCGCGCTGCGCGGCCGCGGGCGCGCCGCGGCTGATGAGGCTTAAGTTACATGAAACGAGCGCGGCCGGACACGAATAGGGAGCATGTGTTGGGCAACCGGCCGCGGAGACCGGTCTGGGTGGCGCGCTCCGGCCTGCACTCCTGCATTCCGGCACTCCTGCACTCCGGCACACCGGCACTTCGGCGCTCCCGTGCTCCGGCAGTCCCGCGCCACACTGGTGACACTCCTGCACTAAACCTCTCCGGCACCTAGACACTCCAGCATCGCATGCCGCTGCGACTCTCGGGTATCACGCCCATCGTCGCGCTCCTTCGCGGCACCTCTCCACCGCCGAAGCACTCCCGCGCCACGCACGGCCGTGCCACTCTGGTGTTTCGCGCTCGGGCGATGGGCACCGCACTGGAGCCGGAAGCACCCCGGCTGCACTCGTGCAGTGGAACGTTACAGCCCTCCTCGATGCGTCCTTGATGGCGCCGCGGCGCCACGTCACTCCGACGCTCCGACAAGCGGACGCTCCCGTACGCTGCACCTAATCGGACACTACGTCGGTCACGCTTTGGAGCATGTAACATCATTCGAGCATCAGGCCTCACCCGCGGCGAGCCGGCCACTTTGCATGCCGCTTGATGCTGTGGTCCTCCAGACCGGCCGTCCGGTTCTCCGTTCAGCAATGCAGCCTCTGAGATGTCTGTGCCCGGTTTCCGTCGTGAGTCAAGATGAGGCCAGCTCTGAGCTCCGGCCTCGGCGCCGTGACTAAGTATGTACTCAGCGGCTCTCTAAGCACTCGCATTCTGCGCTGGTCTCTCCACTGTGGTCACCTTTTTTAATGAGAGCGTGATGCACGTCGTTGCGCACCCTTGTTGTGAAGCACCAGAGAGTGAAGAGGGGATGTGAGCACTCAGGGGCTATGCCGCAAACGGGTTTCGAACCCGGGTCTCCCGCGTCAGGAACCGAAGACGGTAACCACTAGGATATTATGATCAACTGAGGTGATCACAAATGCGACCACTGACGTAGGGCTGTGGTTGCGAGATCTCATAAGGATTTGCCAGAACAAATTTCATGCGATCAGAGCTTTTCAGACAACGAGACAAAGACTTATCCATTCAAATCGGAAAGGCATCCGTCAAATTCGAGAGAGGCATGGGTTTGTCTTAAGTCGGAGGGCATACAAGCTATTCAAGAGTTTGGGTTTCATATGCAGCTTGAAAAACAAAATGTCACAGGCCTCTTCTAAGCCCCCACCTTTATAGCGGAACCCGGTGTTCTGAGCGCTGTGACAGCTTCAGTTCCCAGCGTGATGTTAAGCATGTCAGTCGTATGAGGGCCCGCCGGGTTGAAGGTCTGCTCTCACTGGACTCTCCGCAGGGACCGGTGAATGTAGAGCGCCGTATCCCTCCACGCCTTTCCGACGCGGTGCGATAACGCGTAATGTCTGGGTAGGGCGCACAGGATCGCTTCAAGTCCGCCGGAATGTCAGCATATTCACTGCCGCCGGGAATAAATGTCGGCGCTGCCGCGGAAGTGGACCCCACACAACATCTGGCTAGCCATGTGTTCCCGCTGTGCTTTGTGAGAACATCAACTGCGGCTTCAGACGCGATCGCGATACCAGTGCCGTCTTTGGCAACCACGCACCAAACCCCTCCATTGTTTCTGCACTGCTTTGGTTGGGGGGGGGGGGGGGGGCGGGCGGGACTGGGGAGAAGGCTGTGGGCAGCTTAGATGGTGGCGGCTATCAACTCAAAAAGACGACGGCAAACGTGGCGAGCAGGGCGCCGTGACGGCCGCGTCGTAGCGACAACGCCGCGCCGTTTCCGCCGCCTTTCCGACCGCTGCAACCTACCACTGACGTCACGCGTGACGTCAGTGGGACTCGAACTTTGACCGGAGAGGGTCCCTTCTGCGGCCTATCTTCTCTGAAATGGACGGCAGGGGTCGCGGCGAAGCCGGCTTCCCAGTGGTTGCAGCGCCTCGCATCACTCATGGGAGCGGCGGGGTGTGGGTGTGGATGTGGGGGGCAGGATGTCACCGGCGGAAGCGGCGACTTCAAAAGAACAGCGCGTGGAGCGGTCTGTTTGAGGGCCTTACGGTCTTCCCTCTGAAAGTGGCCTTCAGTGACTACAAGACTCGCGGGATCGCAAAGGGATATGCTGATAAGCGTCAGGAGAATCATGAGACATTGCTCTGCTGCATTCCGTGGGTTTGCGCCTCGTGCTCAGAGCATTGCGCAAGCATCAGCCCGATGGACCCGGACATTTCAGTACTATACGCCGCAGCCGTGACACCCCACTGTGTGTCTTTCGACACGGTGTCATAGACACCGGAGGCCAGCCAGATTAGACGCGTCACGGAAGCGGGGAGCAGCTCTCCTAGAGCTCAGGCCGCGCGCCGCCAGGCTAACGACCGCGGCCGGAGCTGATCCGCCTTTGGCCGCGTCTTCCCGTGCACCGCTGTCAGGCGGGCTTTGTGGCCGGGCACCTGCAATGGCACCCTTACACCGCTGCCAGACTGGAGGTGATGCACCACAGAAACGTGCGCCATAACGTGCCTTGCTGTGGGCCGACGACAACGTCAGCTACTGCCCACGACAGCGGAAGGAAAAGTGACCCGTGGGCATTCTCACTTGTTACGAGCAGGCATCCACTGGAGCGATACGAGGCTCTGCGCAACTTAGAAAGAACGCGTAACGCAAATCAATGGCGGGGAAGACAGGTGGCTCGTGCACAGCCGATCAAATTTGATGACTCACACTTGAGACATTTGCGCTAGTTCAAACGCTTTGCAAAGTTCAGGTTCAGATTGGGGAATGCAACATTAAAATACGGGTTAAAAGGCGAGCCACACCGAAACGAGGCAGCCAGAGCCCAAAGAGACATTGCAGGCACCACTCTGATGTACCGGAGACGGTGCGGCACAACAGTGATGAACTCACTGAAGGAGGGTCTTATTTTAGGGTTATTTTACATCCTGTTCACAATCTATCTACGGCTGAGCGCTAATTGAACCCGCCTGCTGATGCCTCCCGGGGCTAGTTTATACGTACGACACGAAAGGCGATCGGAACCCATTTATAACATACCTAGTCGTTACCAAACCCATTACCAAATCCATTGGCTATCTTATCCTTCATTAGAAAATACATTGGCATGAACCTGGCCGCCGGCAAAACGTGGTGCAGCGGCTCGCGTGGGTACTTAAGATCCCCGTAAATGCGGTAGTATCGGCTGTCATCCTGCTTTTGCTGCTTGTGGCGTGTCGTTAGGCCCGGCCGTAGTTCAAACTACATGCAGGCGCCCATCCAATTGAACCCATTATCTCGCAGCGTATGTGATACTGCTCGTACGATTAGCGATTTTACTTCGCGCCCAACGGCGCCCGGGCGGCGGACCAGAAATCATTAACACTCGCAAATCTTTTGAAATGTCTTGTAATCACCGTGGAAAATATTAACGCCCGTCGTACCCGTTATTGAGACGACTATATCATACGTGATAAATTATGTACACCCTCATCACGCCCATTTAATAACCACCAGAACATTTTTGAGAGGAATGAAGAAGCTGAAGCGGTTGCATGTAATCAAGCCTTGTGTGTTGTTAACTTACATGCTACCTGTCATGTTATTTTGCATGTTATGCAACCGACCCCGTGGCTGGACCGGGCCGCCCTACTTTTTTCTTAAAATTGCTGTGCTTCATACCATTCGTGTGTCTTCACCACGTGAGCAAATCTGCAAACCCCGGTTATTTAACAGAACAAACCAAAAGACCATGGCGGGCAGGATCCGAAACGCGAACAAACCGTCCGACGTTTATTGGGGTGATGGGTTAAAAGGAATGAGGAAACTAGATATCACGTCAATAATTACTCATATCACCCCAGGCTAGATGCTATTATTAGAACGCTCGCGGGTGCCACCCGTACTCGAACCCTCCCACCGGCTATCAAGCATCACATCACCTTGCCCTGCGCCGGCCAGCGCCGGTGCCTCCACCCCTTTCGTGCCAGCGGGCGCCGCCGCCGCCGCCGCCGCCGCCGCCGCCCGAGGCGGTGCGCCGCGCGCGCCACCAGCGGCCCGCTTTCCAGCGGTGCCGCCACGGAGCCGGCAGCTTTTCGGAGAAGCCGTTGTGCCGCCGGTAACAGGCTGGCTGCATGCAGCGTGGGCGGCGGTGCGTGCATGGACGGCGGCGGCGGCGGTGGCGGCGG